GGTGGAAATAAAGTGCACATCACATATCTGTACCGTGTGTTTAGAGCACATGGATAAATTAAACATCTGTAAGAAAACATGACAGGGGCTAGTGGTGCACTTCAACCTCTGGTGGACGAGATAAGTATTACAACAACAAACACGAGTCACCTGTTTCACAGGATGGGGGGGATGTTTTTTTTTTTTAAATTTTCATCTGCTCTTCAGTCATGAATACTGAGAGAAATCTTTATTTTATGTATTTTTCTACTCTCAGGGCTTCCTTACGAACCTGATATAGCTGTGATTTCAGTAACCGTCTGCATTATGTAGTTTGTCCACCAGAGAGCACTGACACATTTATTTTTGAACTGTAAAATGTTCTTTAAAAAAAAAAAACCCAGTATTGCAGTAAATCGTAGGGGGCTAAGAAGCCAGGACCAGATCTGGTAGCGATAGAGGACCTGCTGGTGTTACTCTACTACCATAAGGTCTCACTGACAGGTGTGCACATACAGTAGGAGCTTCACTGACAACACTTTCCTCTGTGCCGAAACTTATATTTGGTAATACTAATCTTGCAACTGTTCCTGTCTCTCCCTCCAGTTAACCTTTCCCGAGAGTGCGCCGTGTCGTCAAGGTGGTGGTGGGGGGGTGTGCCCGCCTCAAGTCAAAGACTATACAACACTCCGTCTGCAGATCGGCACACTGAACTCCACATCGCTTCTCCACAACCCGCCCTGTCGTGCTTCAGCCTCGTGAGAGTCACAAAGTCTTGTTTCCTTTTTTTGTTGAACTTCTTTCCCAGGCACTCGAAGCGGTAAGGACTATCACAAGTCACCTGGTGATCTTTTCACCGAGCTGGACGGCTCGAGTAGCTCGCTGAGCTCCTGCAGAACAGAAGAGAGCTCTTATAACAAGACACACTTTACCTCAACACTGTCTGATGGAAGGACCCCAGCGGAGACAAACCACCTTTCTGTGGGGGATTCTTCTGGCCAAATATATATATAGATGTATTTTTTTCCATTAATGTGTTTGAATGATTGTGAACAATATGAAGGGTTTAACGAGGGGAACACTACACGCAGAAAATGTGTCTGCTGAACGCAGCTGAGATTGTTGAATTCAAATCTCAGATACCGTATCTGTTACTTTGGCCTTTTTATATGTATTGATTGTAGCTTCTCGCTTCCCACGATTCTGCTTTCAGGCACCGCGTGTCCACACGGGGGTCACGGAAAAACCTGAACGAGGCACTTAAGCACAAACACAAAAAAAAAACACTTCTAGGACAAGTCTGGGGCCGTCAGATAATCCCCCACCCCGATGCCTCTCATATGGATTTCGCTCTGAATCACCGGTTTGTCGGCCTCGGAGCCGTGTGAACACAGAAACGGTCACAGAGTGCGCGAGTCCTGCTCCGGGTGGCATTAGATGGAGGTCCTCACAGGCCCGCAATGTTTCAAACCTGCACTGTCGAGTTCCGAGGGGTTAATGTTTACTGAATTCACCGTTACTGCTTCTCTGATCCTTTTTCTTGTTTGAATGTACATCTGGTTCTTCACCAGACGCGACACGCAGGCATTGTATTACTTCTATATATCCAAATATACTTGACCGAAGGCCCCTCCTCATCACCAAACTACTCTGAGTGAACTTGCATGTGTTTGCCTTTTCAGGCCTCACACTTCAGTGCCGTCACCCACACGCCTCCACCTGTTAGGAATGTAGTTTGTTTGGAATGAACCAATTAAAGAAGCGGAAACAATGAAGGTATGCAATCACATCCCATGAGTCCAAATACTGAGCAGCACTATTCCGTTGAAAGTTTTTCTAAAAGTGTTTGTCCTGATATTTTTGTATTAAAAAGTAACCAAACTCTGAGTTTGGGCACATTGTTGTGTATGTGGCTTATATAGCAGGTGGGGAGTAACTGTGCCTGTGTGTACCGAGTGCTCTCCTTTAACCAAGAAGCATGTTTTATACATATAAATATACACAGTATATATTTTACATGCCATACAGTGCACACTATTATTTATACAGCCTTGTCCACTTTGTATTTAATGGGCTCTACATCCAGAATGCGTGTTTGCTACCAAACAGCTCTATTATAATAACTTCAACAATAAAGATGTGGATGTGCCTTTTGGTTTTGGATTATTTTTATGCCTTGAAAATCTTGGAAAGTAGAATTCTGTAAAAGAAGCACGAGACTGAAATGACGATGTAAGAAGCTAGAATGTTTGATTTATTAAAATAGTTCAGAAAAGGACTCTTACAAAATACAGTATTTCATATCCCGAGTAGGAACGCTACATTTTGTCACATACAGTATGAAAATGCTCTCACTACACGTCGTCACTGGAGTGTTATTAAGAAATATGTGGGTTCAATACTGAGGTCATTATATTTAAAAACATTTAACGGGTCAGTATTACAAAAGCTGCTTGCATAACAGTTACGCGTCAGTCCTGTGTGTCCGCAGTGAGCCGGTTCTCGCTCTGCTGGGAGTGAGCCCCAGGTTTACGGGACGGGCCCCGGTCTCAGGGCCCCGGCTCTCAAAGCTTAGTCCTCTTTCTTGGAGCTGCTGCTGTGCCTCTGGTAGTAGAGCACGGTGAGCAGCACCCACAGGTTGAGCAAAGTCATGGCAATGAACCGCACCAGAACTGAGACAAGGAGACATGTTTTTATTAGTGACGTCAGAGAGTTCATCCCTCAGGGACACTGAATATGTGAGCCGTGTGACGGTTAAAGAGGGATTTAAATCAAATCCTTCGCATTTGATTGGACCGCTAAAAAGTGTGTGTGTGTGTCTGGTGGTGGGGGTGGGGGGGGTTATAGAATGTAGCACTATACAGAGCTGAGAGTTGCAAACTGGTGGTTGGATGTCATGATATAATTGGTTGGTACTAGCTTACGAAAGCACTTGTCATATTTTGTTTTCCAGGAAGTAAACGTGATTGGATTTCGATGCAAAATAAATGTTTTTTTGTTGCATATATTATAATTATAAGTTGGCCTGTGTGGGCTGTTAGCCGTTACCATTAGCAGAGTCTCCAAATGCCTTAATTAACCCTTTCAGCATCCTGGTTCATGTCCCCCTTCCATTTCCTGATGACATAGGAGTAACGATGCCGAGTACTTACGTTGTACAGAAACATTTTGCCGTCCGATGCATGGATTACCGACTAATACGCCACACTGGTAGAGTCTAAATCCTGTCCCTCCCAGGTTCCCTCACAGCACAGCACCAGACCACAACAGAACAATAACTCACTCATGTAAAACTGTGGTGATGGTTATTTAGGGAAATAAATCAGTTTGCTTGTGAAACGTTTATGGAGAATGGTAGAACATCCTCCGTCTGGGATACTCCGCCTCCCCCACAGCCACTTGTAATTCCCTTTGACTCACCCTGCATGTCTCCGGTGGTCACCGTGGTGGTGTAGATCCGCGCTGAAACAGAAGAGGAGACAACGACATCCTCGTTGTCAAATGGAGCATCCGATATTCGGGTAATGAAGTGTGGAATTGCTAATTTGGATGATTCCGGAACGGGTTAAGCGGCGTTATGCATATTCATGGGGTGAAGCGTTTACAGTGACAGGCCACTCCAGGGAGAAGAGGAAGTCTCCGCAAATTGGTTCGGCTTTTTCTGACTTCATTAGGAATGCTAAACACGAGGGTTGGACAGATAACAGTGTGCTATTTAAAGAGGAGATAGGTAGTCATTGTGTCCCAGTCCACTATGAGACTGCATTAACCTGGACTAATTGATTCTAATGAGACATTTTCCAAAGGTACCACTCAATTACACCATAAAGGCATGACGTCGTTGCCAATACGGGTTTTAGTGAACGGACAGCGAGCACAGGCTTTCCAAAAAACCTGCCATTAATGAAATTCCTCTGCATTTAAATGTATGTTAATCTCCTGGTAGCTTTTAGCATATTTGTGTGAAGTTGCAACAGGGGTTTGAATAAAAATCCTGCACATTTGATTGGACTGGTACAAAGTGGGCGGGCTCAAGAGCATAGCACGATATGGAGCTATAGAGGCTTAGTTCCTCACACGCCTCAGTCAGTAGTCGATGTGAAGTTGTGGATTGATTGTCATTCTATTTGGTTTAAAAAAGGAAGAAATTATTGATTTTGATAAAGAAATACGAAAATAATTTGTCTTTTTTTAACATAGATGCACAATAAGGGATGTGATTTAAAAGGCTTCTTCCTTTTTTTTTCTTCACAACTTTATCTCATTGTTTTTCACAGCCTGCAGCTACTCCTCCAGTTCACTCCCACTGCTCTATTTGCCGCCATTTTTTAGCTGCTGTCCGCACCACGGCTCCCGCCGAGTCGCTAACCTGTCCGCACCACGGCTCCCGCCGAGTCGCTAACCTGTCCGCACCACGGCTCCCGCCGAGTCGCTAACCTGTCCGCCGACAAACTGCGGGTGAACATAGCGGAGCGTTTGGTAGCTAAAGACCTCAAGGGGCCGGTGGGAAAGCAAAACAAAATAGAGTGAATTTGGACATTAGATAATAACAAAAAACATTAAAAAAAAAAAAAAGTGATCTCTGTTCTGAAGTGTCAGTGATGGTATTTTCACGTCCAGCGTGTGACACTCACCCATACACGTGTAGGTAGCCATAGCCCAGGAGAGGGCGCTGACCTGCCCAGCGTCCTTGGACCTCCACAGGCACTGCAGCTGGACAAATTTACTGGCGGCGCTGATGAAGGTGCACAGGCTCTGAAAGAGAGCAGATGGTCAGACCCGGTCTCTCTATAGTGTTCCTGCCGGTTCAAGTATCAACTCTACGATTCAGCTAAAACATATCCAACACTCTCTGTAGACTGGGAACACTTTTAGGTAGCACGATCACCGCCCCCTCTCCACACCCGTCTATTTGCAAATACACCTTCAGACACTTTGACGTCGTGGACCGACGAGGTCTGAGAGACCGCCAGGAGCAATGAGGCCTGGACGAGTCTCCGTTCAGACCTCCGCCTCATTGCATCCGACTGCTGACGCCCCATCTCTCTGCTCACTCTGTGACATGCTGGGACTTGTGATTTACAGATTCATTACCATAGCCAAGTCTACGATCCACTTTTCCACAGTGAGGAGCCTCCAGCCCCCGACCAACCTGAGTGCGTCACGTCAAGGCAATATCGCGGAACTGTAAAAAAATTAATAAAAAGGTATCGACAAAATTACCAATGGCTCGTTGATTTTCTTCGACTCTCGGTGGAAAAAAAGTGATGAAAGGATACAGCAAGGTGTAGAGGAGGCTCTGCCGCAGGCTGCCGTTGTAGTGGAGGATCAGGAGCAGGAGAATGGCGTCTGGGGGACACACAGGGCGGGTTAGAACGCGCACATGGGCAGTGGGCTGCATGTCTCACGGGGCTGGGTTTTCACTTTGACGGGTACCAATAACAGTTCGTTAACTTTCCTAGAAACTAACATCTCAGGATTTAACAAACTCGCTACTGTTTGCTACACACAAGATATCGGAGTCCTCCGTTGTTAAGATGTCGGGAATAGACCTCCTCGGGCGGATATGAGCTGCCGTGGGTGTCATTTACTCTGGTGTTAAAAATGG